TTTTTGTTACGATGACTAATTTTATTATAATTTTATTACAATTTCTAGAAATTCAAATATGTGTTGTTATATTACCCTTAACTTTTTCAATTATATAAATATTTATATTCATTTTTAGGAGATTTCTTCAACTATTGAAGATTATTTTGGAATATATATTTTTATTGAAAATTGTTTAAAAAATTTAAAATATATTGTGTGACATAACTAGAATTATAAATATCAAAAATTTATTCGTTTAAGGACTTCAAATGATGCAATGATTTTTCAAATTTTAATTACTTAATTTTAAAGCAATTCCCTTTCAATATTTAGCATAATTTTGAAACATAACCTTAAATGTATTATTTCTAAAAATCACAAACCTTTCTGAAAGCATATTCAATTTTATTAAAATAATGTTAAACAATTTAAAAAAGCAATTAAAATTCTCATATTATATTTAAAAATAAACCTCCTCTCAAAATTCTTATTAATCGAATATAAAATAACTATTAATAATTAAAGTGTTAACATACACTTTAATATAGTAACAGTAAAAATTATATAGTAAAAATTATAGTAAAAATTTACTAAACAATTTTTATTTATAAAATTCCACAATGTCATCTAATTCTTGTTCAAAATATCAATAACAAAGCATCTATAACTATGTATAAAATTTTGCAATACACCCTGACGTTCAACAATAAAAGTCTCACTAAAGTAAAAGAAAAAGGAAAATGAAAAGAGAGAGAAACCTTGCTGGTTAATGAGTTGGACGCAGCCAGCATGTTATAAACCGATGAGTTTTGAGATAAATTTTTTTTTCCGCAGGAACTGCTTGGGGATACATCGAATCGTTCCTCTTTTGGTTGATACAAGATTTAGGAGGATCAAGATCACTCATGGGTATCACCATAACCGTAGGCGGTATTGCCGGTATACCATTACTGGTACTATCTGGCCCAATCATATCAAAGATCGGCCATGCCAATGTACTTTTCATAGGCTTTGTTTTTTACGCCATAAGACTGTGCGGTAAGCGTTCATTTTAATTCCTACGAGTATGCTATAATACGTCTGCATGATCTTAATAAACGTGAAAATCCTTCCTCTTTTATTTTCTTTTTACTTTCTTTCTTTTTCTCCTTCGGCCAAACCGAAAGGAGCGGAGCGGCCATTACGGATTTTATTTAGACTCATTTTGCGTTTCGGAGTCCAGAGATTCGACTTCGGGATAAGTTCTTCGGGGGGAAGAGCGAGTGGAGGGGATAGATGGAGAAATTATCGATGTTGGTATTTTCAATCAAAATCCACGTCGGATTGTGTATTATTACGGAATTTTACGAGTCGGCGTGGAGGGGGGCAGAAAAGGGGAGAAGTTTGAGGTTCGAGATAGGTTATAAAATATTATACTGGAATACGAAATGATGGAGAGGAATCGATGCATAAGTGATTCTCGAAATAAGATTAGGAAGATTGATGTTATTATTTTTAATGAGACGATTTATGGGGTTACGCGTTGCTACGCGGTCTGATTAAGTAGAAAGAGAAGAAGATGGTTATAGTAAGTTGGTTATGACGCATACTATCGTATTCTAGTAATTCTAAGAATTATAAATATTAATCAAAATAATACATTGATATAATAATAATAATAATATATTGATATAGTAATATAATAATAATAAGAATAATATAG